GGGAAAGAAATATTTAACTTGTTGCACAGAAATAAATCAGTAGCTTTACCAGGACAAATAAAAGCTACAGTGATCTGGCTAACTGATGCATTGCATTTATGAACATTAAGACTGGGACAGTGAGGAGGCAAACCCCACACAACAACAGCATCACCAGCTGGACTCTCTCCTCTTTGGTGATCAGGCTCCAAGTGTAGAGACTTCTGGCACGTACTGCAGCTTAGTTACAGGAAAAAATCATGCATTAAACATATACAGCAGCTCTAAATTTCATCTTAACAAAAACTGATTCTTACTGTGGTTGGTCTTTTACAGGAGGAGATATTTGCCCTTCAAAAGAACCAGAACTGCTAGAAGTCTTCTCCTTAAATATTTCTCCTATGTCGGTATAGCTGCCGGCAGGTGAAAAGCGTTCTGCGTTCTCCCTGGTTCCTGCTAGGGGCTTAGCAAGCAGCTCCACAGAGCGACACCTCTCCACAGCACTGCCCATGCCTTGAGCCTGGCCGTGGGACGTGCCAGACCTGTCTGAGGAGTGGGCCCTGCGGAGGTAGCGCGAGTGGGGCCTCTCCTCGGGGAGCTGCACGGCCCTGCCCCTGCCGCCGGCAACCACCTCCTGCCCCTGGACTCCCCACTGATGGAACGAACCACTTCCATCCACCGATGAAGCAGCACTGGAGCTCTTGTTCTTAGGGAAAAAAGTGATTTTATTGGGCAGCGGCTGTCCAACTAACAGCTTCTTCTTTTCCTTCAGGCAGCCACTGGTACTGATACTGGAAGAGCCTGTGAACGTTGTGGAGATTGTAGCGTTTCCACTGTCCATAGAATCTTCTGAGGTTCCCGAATCTTTACTCCGTGCGGAGCTGCACCTGGACATAAAAGGATGATCCAACACTGAGGAAAGGCTCAGACGGTCTGCTGGATTTTTGCGGAGCAGCCTGTGTATAAGGTCTTGTGCCTCTCTAGATAAAAAGGCTGGCATTTCATAGTCTGCCAACACTACTTTATTCAGCGTGTTCTTGACCGTGTCAGTGTCAAAAGGCGGCTTTCCAATGAGAAGAGTGTAAAACATGCAGCCCAAAGACCACACATCAGATTCAAGTCCATGTGGACTCCTTGTGGCTATCTCTGGAGAAATGTAATTTGGAGTTCCACACATGGTGTAATGCTTTTCATGAGGCATTTTCAGCTGAGTTGCTAGTCCAAAATCAGCAATCTTGACATTCATGTTACTGGTGAGTAAGATATTAGACAGGGTGAGGTCCCGGTGCAGGATTCCATGAGAATGAAGATACAGCATACCTGTGATGATTTGATGCAAGAAGTGTCGGGCTGTCAAAACACAAAACCAGATGTTTTAGTCAAATAATTGAAATCATAGCTGTGAAAAGGACTTTTTGATGTCTGCTCTTGGTCTTGCATTTATTTTTTTTTTAAATGACATTATTACAAGGATGTTTAAGTGTCATGCTGATAAGACTGGAATTAACTTTCTGCATTTTGCTTTAAGCAATATGGCATGAATTATTTTCTAAGATACTTTATTAAAAATGTTCTGTAATGCAGTCATCAGGTTTGTTTCTTTGCTAGAAGAATAACACAAACTGGAACAGAGATACTTTCAATTGGCCTAAACTTTTTAAAATTAGATTCTTAAGAACTTAAAAAGTTGCTCTGCACTTTCAGAAACAGAAGACACATTAGATCAAGCAGCTTCACTATATGCAGTTCATAGAATATAGGAGATAATTTGGATTATATTTGTTTTATCATTAACAAACTGGTGTGAGTAGCAGTATTTCAGTTTCTCAAAAGCCTATAAGCTTGAGAAAACCTCATCCAGGCTAAACCAGCATCATTTACTAAGATGTTTGTTATTACAGCAATTTTAAGAATCATTCTTTCTAGAGCAAACAATTTACAATCCTCCTTATCTTGGCAAAGACTGGTGGTAAGAAACCATTCCTCAAAAGAAGAGGCTTCTTCCAGGGCAGTGGTTTATCAACTTTCAGAAGATACCATCAGATTAATTCTTTTTGGTGGAGGAGACCCAAATTAAACAGATAATGGCTGTATAGCAGTACCCCTTCAATCCAATCCAAAAAAATAATTTATGTAGCAGTTCCACATAATTAGGTCAGAAACTGATAGAGAAGCAGATCAACTGGTGGAACTGTCCAAGAGATGACCCAGCACAGTAAGTCTGGAAGCAGCAGAGGTAATAACCACTGAATCCAGGTCAGCTGAAACCAGAACAGCTCATTTGGCTGTGCCCACAAACATTATAACCAAGCAAGCTGCTGTGTATCTTTTTTTGGGTTTGAATTGTGCTGTTCAGGTTAGGCTTTCAGTGCTCTGGGTTCTAGCAGAAATCCTCACACTCAACTGTAAGAAAATGAAACATTAGTACATTTAAATTGATGAGGGAAATTATTTTTTTCCCCAAGACTTCTTTCTCAAAACAGTATTGCAAAGGTAACATAGCCAATTTAAGAAGATGTAGAATTACTCTCACAATGAACTCAAGGAAATATAGGATTTTATCCAGTATACAGAAGTTCAGGTGAATATATGTGTAAGAGTAATCTCTAGATTGTCACATCACAAGATTTTAAGCTATACAAACTGGTTCAGTGATAGAAGCTTTAAATATCCTTTCACTTGAATTAAATGTTTACTGAGTAAGCCATAAACATTAATGCAAAGAGAGCCACACAAAAAAAAACTCACCTTCTTCTTCTGAAAAGGGTTTCTTCCTGTTCTTTATGTATCTGCTCATTTCACCATTGTGACACATCTCAAGTATCAAATACACATAGTTGCTATCTTCAAAATAGTTATAAAGCTAAAACATAAAAATTTTTAAAAATTGAAATACATTTTATAGACTGTACAGCAAGTCATATACATTCCTCTCTCCAAAAACAGGATTCTTACCTCAAGTATAGATGGATGTTTTAGCTGACAATGTATTTTCACCTCATTTTGAACCCTCTGAACCATTCCAACTTTGTGCATAGCTTTTTTATCTATCTGTAAACAGATCACAGAATATTTTTCAGACACTACAATATTTTGCATACATGTTAGTTTCAAGTGAACCTGACTTTTTCATTTCAACACATTTGCCTGTAAACTTCTAAACATAAGCAAGTTTTCACAGTTTAACTTACTATATGCTTTTAAAGAACAAATGTCATTGTTAAGTAGAGGAACATACAAATGTCTAAAAGTAGACAAGTTTAACACTTTAAGTACGAAGACAAATTAGGAAATTTTCTGAAATACTTACGCAGAGAAAACTCATTTTACCAGGCAAATATACTAAATATAGTTAACACTAAAACAGTGACTCAATAAAAGTATGATAGATAAATTAATATGGAGAAAGACCTGTGCTGTGCAAGTTTCTTTCACAAAGCTTGACCTGACAGTGAGGGAAATATTTCCAGGACCTCTCCTGGATTTTTCCCATGGGCTCTAAATGAAGCTTTTGTGGTCACAAATTTTTGAATTAGAATTACAAGGCCTGTTGTCCACCCAACGTTGACTAATTGAACTTAAGTTCTTTTAGTAGTGCTGTTACCATTTCTATTAATTATGAGTACAGTTTATTTGGTTGTGCTGCATCTTTCAGGATCAAATCCTCATCTAAATACCGGTTACACACCGACAAAGTGATTAATGCCCTGCTGCGTAACCCTCGTCCTTGTTCCATCTCTCGGAAGACAGACACTTCCTTGACCTTTTTGATAGACCTTACCATTTTGATAGCCACTTCCAGACCGGTTTTCAGGGACACTGCTCTGTAGACTCCTGCGAAGGAGCCCTTCCCCAGGAGGTTCCCCACCTTGAAATCCTGCAACGCGAACAAACGATCGCCATCAGCCCCACGCCAGGCTCTGAAGCCTCTCCCAGTGCCGACCCCCGAGCGATGGGGAGCCCCACACCCGCGATGCCGGAGCAAACACTCAGGTGCCCCCGGGGAGTACCTGGACGGAGCTCTCCAGTGCGCGGCGGCGACCCGCGGCCGGGCCGCGCAGCATCTCCCCC